AGCCGTAGATGTGGTTCCTGTGCCACCACCTCCTCCGGCAGCCGTAGATGTGGTTCCTGTGCCACCTCCGGCAGCAGCCGTTGTTCCAGTCCTTACTACATTAGACACAGTAGCACCTGTTGAGATGGTTGTATGAGGAATCGCGGAAATAGATGTAGCTACTTCATGAGGATGGTTCAGTTGGTGCTTTAGTGATTGGAAGCAGTGGGAAAGGGTGTTGTTTAAATTGCTAGTGGGTATGCATCGATTAAATTGATTACAGTTGAAAACTTTTAGTTCAAAAAACAGTTAGTGGTTTTACAGTACACTAGAGTTACTAATTTTTAAAACTACTGGGAATAATTGCATTTAATTTTAATGGCCTTTTAGTACACACACTGGTTTAAGAATTAATACTTAAATTAAATTGCATTTACAGCAGTTCTGAATTATTCAGATCATTGGTTATTAAGATGGCTTACAACATTGCAAAACACTTTTTTTTATCAACCTAGACTTGACAGTGTAAAGAGCGGGTTTTCAAAACGATATGATTTTGATGTGTTTTAGTATTACTTGAATTACATACAATGTAGATGCACAATAGAAGAATAGTTATTAAATACATACACTAGATTTGCGAATCATCTATGAAACAAAGCAAATGCCACATGTTTTGTAAAGTTGTAAGCCATTTTGCTAATGAACTACAAATAATCCTCAGAACCACTAAGTATATCATGTAATTAAATCTGAAATATGAAAACTAGTACAATTATGAATGCGATAGCAGCAGAGTTTAAAAGGTTATGAGGAAGATTGCATGCCATAGTCAAAAGTGAAAACAACCAAGGAAATGTTCGGTGATGAGAGCTGTTGAAGACTGTTGCCATAGTGATGAAGATTGAAATGAGGCAATCCCTTTTCTGGTGAGTTTGGACGATAATGTAGTAACCGAAATGAATGTTTTCTCCGTTTTCATGCTCAGAGGGTTCAGAAAATGGTTTAGATGTACTCATGCTGATGATGGTGGGTGGTTGCCATGGAAACATGCAATGATGATGATGATGATGAAGATGAGTTCCAACAGAGGCACACTAGCACTGGTCACCAAGGTACTGGATACAGTTCTGGTTTCTGGTAATCTGGGCATGCCAGTTGGCAGGTCAGATCTACCGGAACCAGAGACTGTCAATCCAGTGCCCATAAGCGAGACATACTGTTCCCATTTGCATACCTGTTGTTGGGGCGGGTGTTGATGGCACAACAGTTGTTGTTTCTGTGATGTCAATCACTGTAATAGTTACCACGGCAACATCTACATCTGACCTCCCAGGGTTCTGTGCACTTATGGTTAGGTTGAACTCGGTGTCTCCTGCATCGTAGTCAAATGACTGAACTGCATAAATAGTCCCATCAAGAGCTATTAACAATAGGGAACATATTGATTAATTTAAAGCCATTTCACAAATCATGTAAGACATAGTGAATATGTAAAATGTATTTTTGAATGTATAGTATATTGTGAAAACTTGGTGTATACAAAATGTATTATTGCAACATTAATGACAACTATATTTCCCTGGTCATAAGCCTTTGGGTACCGGGCAGTGACAATTAATTTAATCTTGAAAATAAAGATGTTGTTTATTAAAATACGCATGTAAAAAGTGTGTTTCATTGCATAAAAATCATGATTATGATGATTGGTAGAGTAGTTTTTATTTTGAAATATGTGTTAACCATAAAAAACTCGCGCAACTTTCAACGCTCACTCTTTCTATTATTACTGAATTAATACTTATCTCTTTTACGGATTGAAAACTATTCCAAATAATTACAAATGATATAGCTCTGCTGTATACATAGCAGTTTGACAGTTGAAAACTGCATTTTTACCAAAAATGACAGAAATATTAACTAAAATTAGACTATTGAAGCTATCTTCACAAAATGAACGAATCTGATTGAGGTACATCATAGGTGTCTAAATATAAAATATCAAAGTGATGGGACTTGCCTTATTCTTGAAAATAGTATTTTTACCAAAAGTGACAAAAATATTCATTAAAATTAGAGAATTGAAGGTATTATCAGAAAATCTGACTGAGCCCCACCCCCAAGGTGTCTACATACAAAATACTGTTTTAAGAAGAAGTTGAAGATTGTACTTTTAAATAAGTATTCATCAAAATTAGAAACTTGAAGGTACATGTACATATGTATATATATATAATATATATCAAAGAAAGGATTTGCTGATTTCAAGAGATCGAGAATGTAAAGTTTCCAATGTTGGACAATCAGTAATATGAACAGCTTCACTCTGACGATTACAGCAAGTCTCAGAAGCACTAAGACAGCCAATTGGCAAACTTGCTAGCGAATTGGCTAACTGCTTTGGTTTTGACTAAACGGTTGGCTTTCGAATCTCGCTGGCGCCAACTTGTGGTCACACCCAGTCTTGGTGAATCTATATAGGGGACGGTCGTCATACTTTAGGAGCTAATCAGCGACATACAGTTGGATATCTATTTCGCTTTAAAATATACCAGGGAAAGTGTTCTATGTTCTTCATGTAATAAGGTGTTTGTATACAAGGGATTGTCCACGCAAAAACGACGAATGAGGTTGAATGTTTTCAGTGGTTGGCTCAATGTTATCCCAACAGATCGTTTGGATGTGAAACTTTGTTGTTTTCTACCTGATTTGTAGAAAACTGTTTCTCAACTTGACTCTTTATTTAGTTTCAATCAATGTTAAAGACTGCTACCCTATATAGTAAATATCAATGGATTATTCGCATTTATCATATTATCACTTGTATGCCAGCTGACTGTGGCCATTCTCCGAGTCAGGCTGACCAGGGAAACAACTTATAACATTATCACGCCTCGCATAACAAAGCAATCATTCTGGGGAATCCAGACGTGTACCAGGCTACGTAAAAGCATTCTATGTCCCCTAATGCAATATAGATGCAACCACAAGTCGACGCCAGCGAGATTCAAAAGCCAACTGTTTAGTCAAAACCCAAGCAGTTAGCCAATTTGCTAGGGAGTTTGCAAATTGGCTGCCCCAATACTTCTGAGACTTGCTGTATTAGCTGACAGGGGAGCAAACAATTCTTCATCTTTTCTGATGTTAAATGTTTAGTCGCATGGGCCTGTGACCAGAGAAGTATAAAATGTATATATAGATAAACAACATATACCTCCTCAATATTAAATATACTGCAACATTAACACATGCAAGACATGACAACAAGGAACAAACACAATATAATTAGCTGGAGAACAATAACATGCATTATTCACTCTCTTTTAATAGCCTGCTCATTAAAGAAAATCATGCAGTAATTACAATAGAACAAAACAAAGTTTAAATTAATATATCACAAAACAACAGTCATGACATGCAAATGATGTCAGAACACAGTCTTACGGTCAATCCTAAATTTATCTTGGTTGCTTCCACTCTCAACTGCATAGATGATAAAATTATATGGAGAATCATCTATGTCATACACAGTGATGGGCTGGTTCTATAGAAAGAAAAAAGAAACATTCAGTCAATGATTAGTCATCACAGTGAAAAACATTACAGGTTGATAATTGTATAAGAAAAACTATTTGTGTATTTTTAATTAGATGAGAAATAATTATTTGGTATCTCGCTTAACACAGACTTATTCTGAGAAAATTAGAGATGACTATCTATGATATACACGGTTGACATGGATTTCTCTAAACGCAAGAAGTCACAATGTCACTCTGCGGTTATGTATACTTTGATAAGCCTCTAATTATTGTTTCAATAAATTACCAATAAACATAATGTTGCACACCACTCATGTTGAACTGTCAGGCTGAATCATTTCCTCTATACACTTGTTTTGCCTTCACAAGTTATTCACTCAATCTTTCTTGCCAACATTTCAAGGCAGCATTTTGCATATTTTATGTATTTTTCATAACTGTTAATTTTTGACCAAACAGACATAATATGTTTTGCCTTCACAAGTTATTCACTCAATCTTTCTTGCCAACATTTCAAGGCAGCATTTTGCATATTTTATGTATTTTTCATAACTGTTAATTTTTGACCAAACAGACATAATTGCTTACAAGCAGATCTAAATCAAAATGTTTATAAAAAATTTCCAAAGAAAAATATGCAGTTTATTTTGTGAAAGGTACACAACAAAAGTTGACCTTCAAGTACCAAGGAGGGTTATAATTGATTTGTAATGATTTGGACACCATCATTTTTCCCGCCAAGAAGTTAGTGCAACATTTTGTCTGATTTTTCTACCATTTTTTTCATGATTTTGGACTAAATAGGTATAATTTCTTATAAGCTATTAATATTGAAACAAATTTTAAAAAAGGGGTTACGTAAATCTTTGGAAATGTCCATCAACCAAATGTTCTCAACATTAAAGCCATCAACTATATTAAGCTTTCAGAAAATATATTAAATTTGGAGATAAAATATGATCATTACCAATTCAGAGTAATTATTGATTTCATATTTAATGATGACTTTATTATTATGTTGTCTACAACAGAAATAATTTTTATGAGATATACAATATATGTCTTTACCATATTCAATGCAGTTTGGCTTGGTTGTTTTTCTGATATGGTGGCTGTATACCTGGTTTCATTAAATACTGGTGAATTATCATTAATATCAAGCACATTCACTTTTAGAGTTGAATTAGTGCTCCGACTTGGAGAACCACCATCTTCTGCAATTAGCTGTTAAAAAGAAAATGTTGTATGTTAATAATTTCATGATGAAAAAAAAACTGTTCATATTCCTCATACTTGTTTTACATATCAACAGTGGAAGTCAATTCAAAATGGGTGATGTTGTGTTGCTATGCTAAACAGCAACAACATAATCATTATTGCTACTATTGCACACCACCACTATCATCATCACCGTCATTATTATTATTATTATTATCATTATCATCAAATTCATCATCACCACTGTAAGCATCATCTTCACAATCAAAAATAAAGACAAGGATGAAACTTACCAGAAGGTCATACATCTCTTTATTTTCTCTATCAATGTCACCATCTACTGAGATAGTAACAGTGTTATCAGTGTTCAACACTAGTGAGAAATCAGAACTACCGGCTCCTTCTAACCTCAGGGTCACATCACCATTGCCAGCAATATCAGCATCAGAAACAAATACTGTAGGGGTCTATAGAAAGAGATCGACATCCATCAATGAATAATAAACTACCCTTGCCAAAATTCATTAGACAAGATGTATACTTTTTGTGTGATAAATTTATACAACTTCTGAATAAATTTGGACATTTGATGTATAAATTTGTGTATACTATATTTGGAACAGATTTGTATACAAAAAGGATGCAACTAATTTACAAATAGTGTACAAAAAATGTACTTTTATATACAAAAAGTATCCCATATTTAGAACACTCATGTATACAAAAATTGTACAAAGTACAATTCATAAAATGGCATTGATGGCAATTAAACTTTGTGGGTTTCATTTGTCCCAGCGTACAGTAATATTACTCAACAATCTGTAATTGGATTTACCTACACATAAACATAGGCTTTGCAAAATATGGCACAAATATATTATTATAACCACAAAAACAGAAAATATGTAATGACCATACAGCATTGAGTGAATAGATATTTCAAATTAATTTTTAATAACCAAGGTTTTTGATAATTGAGAAAAACAGCTAATTTGGTAGGCCATCTAAATTGTGTAGATTTAAAATAGGCAACCTCAAATATGACTTTGAGTGGATTGTTATAAACAAACAGTAGACAACATGCTTGAAATATGGAGGTGCGAGTGGAGGGGTATGGAGGTGGGTGTGGAGAGGTTTGGATGTGGGAGTGGAGGAGTTTCCACTCTGTTTAGCTTCCATTCCATTCTATTCTATTCTATTCTATTCTATTCTATTCTATTCTATTCTATTCTATTCTATTCTATTCTATTCTATATACTCACCATCAATAACTGGGTACCAGTTTCAACATTTTCACTGATGGAAGCAGTTAAGTCACTGCTGGATATCACAGGATCATTATCATTCACATCCAATATATTGACAATAACTTCAACCAATCCCTAGAAAAAAGAATATAAAACAGAGTCTTTATTGCTTGATTCTGAGAAAATTTGCGAAATACTTTTTATTTGGGTCCAATAAAAACATAGAGTTACAATAATTTGCAACATCTTGTCCTTAACACGATTAAATCATCCAAAGCAGTGAAAATGAAATGGTTTACTATCTTTTTTATGATACAAAAAAAAAGTCTTTGGTTTGTCTATGAAAAATATATTGGACAAATACTAAAATACAAATTATTACTGTAACAGTGAAAAGCATATCATATAGCTTAAAGCAAGGGTGTCGTAATTGTGCATGCAGATCCATGAGCCTATGCAATTTTTAGTGGGCATTGTTATCGTCGCTTGGAACATAATTCCTGCAAGTGTGCAGCTGACGACCCCTCCGCTTTAATATTATTGTTCTACCCTACAGTTAGGAGAATGAGTAATGGCAACAGACAGAACCAGTTTTAGTTTACCCTGACACCAGTTGAAGCTATATTTGGTGTCTGTATTGACTTACCAATCTTGGTGAGGTTCTATCATCCATAGCAGCAATTGTCAAAGAATAAACATCTTGATCCTCTCGGTTCAGTGTTCCATTTGTGGAAATTTGACCATTCTGAAAACAGTAATTGATGCCAGTTCAGATATACAGAGACATGAATACATAAATTAAATAAATAAATTCAAACAAATATTAATACAATAATAATGACATTAATTTTAACTGAAATAATGCTGTTGTAAATTAACTTTCTACATTTTTTTTATATTCCTCAATATTTCTGGAAATGAACCCTACTAGGTAATTTTGGAGCCAACAGACAAAATTTGAGTAAATTTTCATTTTTTTGGCTATTTTTTTTCAATTTTCTGAAGGAAAGTGTAGACTATAAATGGGACTATTTTGCTAACTTGTGATGAAACAAGCAGCCTGTCGGCTGAGATAGCTCCGCTGTTAGCAATGCACATTTCAATTAAAGAACAAAATATATCATTAGAAAATGAACAATATGTATAGTATCAAAGCAATGGGACTTGCTGTTTTCAACAAGAAGTCAAAAACATCACTTTTCACTAACAATGACAAAAATAATCATTTTTGGTTTGTGTTGGCACAGACCTGGTTTGTAAAGACACATCCCCTGAGCTTGATGCAATTCAAGGATTCACACCTTTTTGAGTTAACCAATCAGTTTGCATTAATTTTGAACTTTTTTAGCCAATCAATTCTATTCATAAATCGTGTCATTCATTCTTTGATGCAACTCGTTTGCGTGAATATTCTTGTCGGCTAACCCACCAACCATCCCCATCTTAACTCCTCTTCTGGTCATTTTTCACCCCACTATTGGGCAAAGGACTTCATCCTGTCCCCCATTACAAGGACGAACGTCCACTTTCTGGCTTTTCCTTTGTATGACATGGCAATTTATCAACACCTTTGCCCAATGCTCACCAGTGGGCGATTTGAAGGGTGACCCCTTGCCCAATTTTTTAGTGTGTATTTTTATTGTGTAATCTTTCCATTATGTTAACGCATGTTTTTTTATTTCTTTATAGCCGACTAGTTTTAATAAATTGTCTTACTTTTAATCTGGTGTGTTGTAGTGTTTTTACAAATCAAAATAAGATAATTGAAAATATCACCACGAAATTAAATCTGAAAGAGGTCCACATGTAGTACCTATATATGTAATATCAAAGCAATTGGACAATTGGACAATTGGTTTTTAAAAAGAAGTTGAAAATGTCACTTTTTACCAAAAATTACAAAAATATTCACCAAAATTAGAGAATTGAAGATATCAACATGAAATGAACAAAGATAAGAGAGGTGTACCCAAGGTACATATACACCAAGTATCAAAGCATTCAGGCTAGTAGTTTTCAAGAAGAAGTTTGAAAAGTAAAACAATGACACGGACGACGACAGACGAAGGACAATCACTCATATGATAAGCTCCGCTCCACAAAGTTGACAGCGAAGCTAAAAAGAGAACTGGTAGTGAAAAGGTTAAGACCATCTCATAGTCATTTACACACACACTACGTCCAATCAGAAAACCAGACTTACTTCATCAATGACAAATATTCCATCTTGATTTCCAGCAAATATACTGTATATTATTGCATCACCATCATCATCAGTTGCCCAGACACTCCCGACGGTTACCACCGACAACGCACCGGGATAGTCATTCTCATTAATACTATACACATAGCCCAAGGACTGGTTGAAAACTGGATTGTACAAGTTGATTTCAAGTACAGTTATTAAAATAGTAGCCTGAAATATAACAAAAATTATTTGTATTTATATTATTATAAGGGGTGGACCATTGGAAAAAAAAGCTTAGAGAAAATGACAAAAAGTTCCTACAATTTCCCCTCCCAGAGTTTCTAATGGTCATCCCTTAATGCATGACAGATAATGCCATGGCTTGATATTTTAGAAAAAAGGTGTTTTAATTGTGGTTTTGAAATTCAAAATAATGGGTTCTTCAGATCGTAAAGGCAAAAATGTAACGAATCAATAAATAAATTCATTTGCATCTGTAACAGGTTTCTTGCCTTTGATTAATTGTTACAGTATTAATTGGTAAAAGCATGCCTATGAAACAAACAACAAAGAGTGGATGTACTTTAATATTAATGTTTTTAAATGATCTGAAAATATAATAGGCGAATTTCTGCTCGAACTTAAAATAATGTGTAAAAGCCGAGGTTTGAACGTCTGGCACAAAAATCAAAAGATTTGATTTTGAACTTCCTTTCTTTCATAGTTCAATATTGACCATCATCAATTGTGTACAGCACATTATTAAGCATGAAAATACCCAAAATATATTCTTACATTTGTTGAATCTTACGCAATGTTTTGATTGCCACTATGACGCTATGACCTGTGTTTGTTGTGTTTTTATGTTTGATATCGTGCACAATCTTGCAGTACTAGTATACTGGAAAATGGTCAATTGTCAAAGTGACTTGAATGCATTACCTGATTTGTGTTGAGTCCATCATCTGCTTCTACTGTAAGATTATAGAAATCATTATCTCTGACATCAAGGATACCATCACCAGTTAGTGTAACCACACCACTCATCTCATCAATAGTAAAAGCACCTAGCGAGAAAACATTGAGTTGTTACATTGATATTGTAGTAACCGAGTGTTTGCCCAACCACTACCATAATGATCCACGCAGGAAAACGGTAATATACATGTAAAACTCAGGTTCATTTGTGGAACTGCAAAACTACAACTTGGCAAGCATTGCCGCCATTACAAACTCAAACCAGGTCGTGTGTCCACTAACATCTAGCATACTGAATATAGATACCAAATTATCACAGCCATTAGTGTACCTGCAGCTCTAAGCTGATATGGCACTGACACGCATGGTATACTTTCATGTCACAAGTACTTCATATTGGATAGTAAGAGCCTGTGATGTCAATGCTTTTTAGTGTTCAACCCAAGGCAGGATTTGAACTTGAATCTATCGATCACGAATCCAATGGAACAACCACTATGTTGCCAGTGATTGGCCGCATAAACAATCTTTATTCTTGACTACTTCCCATCTCCAAGGTGTCACCAAATTAATCCAGCTTGATTTTGGGAATTCCGTTTCGACTCAAGATCCATACAAAATCAGTTGTATTAGACACAGCAGCACACTGGTAACCATAAATCACATCCAGTTTCATTTTCAGTATATTTTTTTCAGTCCTTGTATCAGTACACACAGGGTAATATATTAAAAGTAGTATTATGAATACTTGTAAAAATACCAAGCCCCTTACCATTAGTATTGCCATCCGACTGTAAACTGAATGTAATAGTGTTATTCCAATCATTGTCAGTAACAGACACAGTTATTATAGAACGGTCAGCCGAAGCATCCTCTGGGACATCAGCAGTGTATGTGTCTTCCGTGAAAACTGGAGGATTATCGTTGATGTCTTGTACATATACTGTCACCTAAAAGCAAACAATTCAGAAAATATTATTATATTCATTGACATGAGCAGGGATACATTTCATATTTAGTGATATATTAACCCCATCACCACCACCAAATTCATTCATCTGCAACAAAATAGTCCTGCTAAAAATAAATTAGTTATTGAATTTGCATACAAATTCAGTAAACACAAACTATATAAGTGACACAGGTTACCATGACAACAAGTAAAGCTAACTAGTATGTCTTCAATCTTCAAAATACATCAACTTTTTGATATGCTGGTACTATTAAGACAGACAACTCACCACAATATCTGATGTTAGCGGATCGTTCCCCTGGTCTTCTGCCGTTACCAGCAATTCATAAACTGCTTCTCCATTATTATTTATCACCAGACCTGGTGCTTCTCGGTCCAGACTAGCCAAGCCAAAGATCATTCCCTGTATGACACAAAATATTGAGTTTTCAGAATTTATTGAGTTCGAAATGGAATTAGACACGTTATTGTTGCTAGGTTCAAAGTTCAAATATTCTTGATGTCTTTGCCATCATTACTAACTTCAAAAGGAATATCTCCAGGTCATCTCAGAGTTCAGTTCAGAGTTTAAATGGAATTCATTTTACTAAATTCAAATTGTGAATCCATGTCTAGATCAACAAATACATTCATACTTACTGTGACATTATCAATACTAAACAGAGATGGAAATGATGATAATCCATAAACTACATCTCCATTGGCGCCCTCATCATCATCATCAGCTATGACACTGAAGATATCAGATGTTATATTACCCTCTACAAAAAAAGGATAAATAATTCATCACAGATTTTTATAATAAAATGCATGTAATTGGCATAGTGGCCAGACATTTCACAATTTTTCATTATAAATATTGATAATGACAAGTACAATGAAAAGGAAAATCATGCCCAACCATCTTTCTTACAGCGAGCAATGATCATGTTGGAGGAACAGGCGACATAAAAATTATTCACGTCTATGATCAATTAATGTAGAAGTGAAAAGAAAAAAGAATTTAAAGCAATGAGTGCAAGTTTTCATAACTTAATTTATGAACTGAAATAAAGAATGTACATTCAAACAAACGCATATTGTATTACTTAACATCACGCAAAATATTCTTCTTTATACAAACATGAATGTTTTTTTTCTTTTAAGCAATTTCCACATATTTTATATATTAAAAACTAACTTTTTATTTATGGCAGTAACAATCTGAATATTCTAATAGTCTAAAATTGATAGTAATCACAAAAATTTGAGATTGTTTCTGCTCATTTTACCAACACTGTTGTTACCTGTGATACTAGTTTGATATGGTAAGCCAGTAAACTCTGGTGAATTATCATTCACATCCTCCACTGTAATGGTTACTGTGGTAACAACCTGTGGATGAAGAAGGAATTATGTTGAATCAGCAGATGAATGCGGTATAAATCAATTAGGCCTCAATTGCACATTTTGAATTTAAACAAACCAAAGTGAATTTCCAAGATCACAGATAATATTCTTCTGCTAAAAAAATAAAAGTGGAGAAAAAACTCAAATAATTGTATATGAAAGGCATTTGATTTAAAATCAGATAATTATCACTAGATGTTCACATCCTGCAAAATCAGTGACTTCCTATCTCAATTCAAGACCACAGTAAAATTGTCACTAACAAATAATGTCATGGTTTCACCAACTTGCAATTACATTTTTTATTTTCCATTTCATTCATGTAAGAATTTATTTTTTCAACAACAGTTATTAAATTCATCAAATCTATTACAAACTTCAAATCTAAAGAGACCCACTTACTGATGTTAATCCAGTTGGATCAGTAGCTGTAACATTCACATCAAAAATATTTTTGATTTCTCGGTCTATAGGAGCTGATGTTTTCATCTCACCACTATACTTGTCAATACTAAAAAAATTTGCACCTGAACCTGAAACAAAGGGTCAAGTATTAGAGTTATATTTCTGGAATTAAAGACACTCAACTGTCAGTACATCAAACCATTAATCCCATAATGCATTGCAACATTTAATGATTATCTTCTTTTAAGTGTAATACACTATTTTTCAAGTTTCAGATCTCTGCACGAACTGATTTAGAAGTCTTGACAAATAAATCTTTTTCAATACAGACTATGCTACCACAGTTGGCAGTTGTGACAAATCGTTGACTTATATGTGTGGAGAGATTATCTTTTAATCTTAAAAGATGGAAGATTCACTATTTATCAAACTTACCTCCGACAATTGAATAGAGTAAGTTTGAACGGTCGTCTACATTGACATCAAACGCTTGAACAGTAACAACGTGAGAACCAAAAGTAATGTTCTAGAAACAAAAACATGATATACTCATGAATATTTTATCAAAAAGAAAAAAAAAAAAGAGAAAAAAACCACACAGGATAAATGTAGATGCACAAGTTCTGGACTACCCGCAATTTATTACGCTAGTTTGTGCTATAGGTAAATCAGTGAACATAAAATCTTGTGAAACAAATTGTTCTCCATACCCAACAGCAAAAATAATTTACAGTTGTCAAAATAATATACAGTTTAAATGTATTCATACAGGCCAGGTATAACCAGACTCATTTGTCTGAGGAGTTTGTAACATTGCTTGCGATGTCAGGAAAGTAGTCTTAACATTTTCCAAACTGATCACAAGCAGTGATTTGAAAAGCTCAGCTAAGTATTACATACCTCTTGTACAGAAGCTGAATAGGTATCATTGAAGAATGGCGGATATTCTTGGGTGCCATTAGCTGTGATGTTAAAGTTGATAAGTATAGTAACTTGGACGGAACTTTCTTTTGGAGGCGATCCTGAATCCCTTGCTTTTACACTAAAAGTATGCTGTATTCCAAAATCAAATCCAGTAATGATTTGTTGAAGCGTGATAGCACCAGTTTGATAGTTGACAGCAAACTTGCCTATGAACGGTATAAAAGTTAAAATGTCAATTGAGTATACTGCCCTCTAAGTTCACCCTTTAAAACACATTAACTTTTGTTTTTACTTCTCATCTCTTTCTCATAGAGATGATGACATAAAATAGTTACCTTACAAATAGTTGTAGATATTAGAGGACATTATTATTGTACAAAAGGTAGCGTCTATCTGGATGAAAAATACTGTTTGTGCTTTATTAGAGTCGCATGTGCCCTGTTAAGCCTTTGGGTACCATAATTCTTTTTCCAGAATGTTAGCACTACATCTTGCCTATTTTTGAACTAATTTGTATGATAATTTAAATGGATGTAAATTCCTTATTTGTTACAGGTTTTGATCAAAAAAAAAATTATGTGGATTTCATTTTGTATAATTTGACAAAAGATGGCTTCAACACTTGAGATGAAAAAAGACTCAAAGAGCGAGTGTGCTGAAAAAATTCCAATGCAACGAGCATTTTCTCCTCTTGGAAATGTCTGCTAATACAACACAAATACTGTATATTTTGTTTTATTGAAGAACTGCTGTAAATCACCTAATTTTATGACAGACACATTTTTGCAAATTTCGTCAGTTTGTGAAAATCACATTATTCTTAATCTTTTCACCACCAGTTCCCCCTTTTTTCATCACAAAACGTCTTGTTTTTAGTCTGCTATTTTTTCCAGAAAAACAAAAAAAAAATAGACAAATTTTTTTGAGTAAAAACTTTAAATTGATTCAAATATGGTCTTTTGGCAACAAAATTAGGGTTCAATTGCAGAAAAATTGAAGAATATTAGAAAAAAGTTTGGTGGTGAAAAAGTTAAGAACGTGTAATTTTCTCTGGGGGTTCTACAACATATATCGTGAATTTTGAGAAATTTTGCCTTCAAGAATATCATAAAATCCTGAGAATTTCTAGAAGTGAAAATAAAAACGTTGACAGTATGTTTGCCTTAATGCTCACATAAAGCTGGTTTCAAAAATTGAATTATTTAAATATGATTTAAAATAGTACATATTTTTGCCATAACACACCTAATGTAGTATATAAAGGTCTTTAACTAAAATACTTTAATCCAAACCAAAAATTGAGGTTGTGTCAAATGAATTTTTCTAACTTACTATTACTGTCTTCCAAGAAATAAACCATCTCATTCATCTCATCTGCATCAGTAGCAGACACCGTCAAGATAACGTTACCGACGGGAAAGATTTCAGAAATGGTTTTCTTATATTCGCCTTCCAGAAATTCAGGTTCATTGTCGTTTACATCCAAGACTGTGACATTGATTATAGTGTAGTCTTCATATAAGCCATCGCTACAGCTGACATTCAGAAGCCAGGATTCGGTGGTTTCTCGGTCTAATGTGTCACTCGTGGATATTTCACCAGTGACGTTGTTTATGGTGAAAGGAAGGGAATCATCAGTGATGGAGTAAAGCAGGACGGAGTCTGGATCAGCATCGACAGCAATGACCTGAGAAGTTGGATGGATAGACAGTATAAAATTACACAACCAGATTATTACATATAAATGTAAACAATTCAAATTGTTCAATAGCCTCAATAAACATGTGTTACTCATACAGTAGCATAGAATAGTTTAAAAATAGTCTGGTCATGTGTGAATAAGTCATTAAATTCTAAAATGATCAATTCAAGCAAAAATGTCAGACTAATAATTGTAGATCAAATCAATGCACATTTTTGGTGAAGAATTAATAGCTGCATGCATAATATTTGATCCAAAGCAAACCGAAATTTAAAACTTTTCTTAATTAACTGATTTTTGAATAAAGATATCTTTTGGGAAATCTCATCAAAATTACTCATGCATTAAATCTGAAAACAAACAATTGAATAATAGCATAAACAATGTAGAGTATGGTATCCCATGATGCAACTGCAACCCTTTGTAGGCTTGATTTATTAAAAATCAATTTCTACACAGAACAAGACTTTCGCAGCAACAACAAAAAACAGAATCAGAAGTAGGGCCTTGGAGAGAGAAAGTTATAAATATTTGAGCACTTGACCCGGTACCTGTATAAGTTGTATTCCAGCACTTTGTTCTTCACTAACATCTACAGTGTAAAAATCTGATTGGAAGACAGGCGGATTGTTGTTTACGTCAAGTATGTTTATAATCACCATGGTGATGGATGATCTTGGAAACTCACCACCTGTGAAAAGTAAATAGTGGACAAACATAAAATCTGGTCGTTTATATATAAGCAATCACAGTCCCTCAACACCCGGTTAGGAAACGTTATTGTTCTAAGGTGTGAATCGACCGAGTCCCGAGTACAGTGCGTGTTTCGTATGTGGG